GCGATTCCCCAGGGCCGGGGCGGGCAACTGCCGGAGGAGCGGTGTCATTCTGCCCTGACCCACCCGTTGGTGGTTCGTGACTGCGACGTGGCTGGTTTCTGCCTGGGAGGGGTGACGTTTTTATTATGAATCGAGGAAGAAATTTCGGGGAATGTCGGATAGCTAACCTTTTTTATTCAGTTACATACACCTGTACCGTGTATTGGGTTACGGATGTGACGAATGTTTGTTGTTTGGGCAAAAAAAAAACAAAAAACAGACGGACCCACAACAACAACAAAACGCAACAACTTTGAAAAATCCAAAGCCACTGCTTGAAGGAGTTTACCCCGCCCTCACAGATCGGCTCAGCGAGCTTCGTGCCTGCCAGCCTAAAGGTCAGACCTACACAGCAAGCAGAGCTCAGGACCTCCGTAGATATTTATGCCAAGATGCAACTACACGCCGGGGCCATCAGAAAAAGGGCAGGGAAACTGAGGAACACGCGCAGGATGGGACACCAATCAGTCCATACCAGATACAAAAACAGCCTTAACAATGCATGCCGTATCCTATACAAAATCATCGTTAACAATTCCAGTGTAAAGATTATACCTTGGATTCATCAGGAATGGAAAATTTCTAAATGAAGGTGTCAGGCTGATACCTTAACTTCAAAACCACTCAACAGGTTAAGTACTCCAGGCAGTGGTGACCCAGAATTATCTTTTAAGGCTAAAAAAAATCCTCCTGCAGAGGAAATACTGTTCACTTAAGTGAGACGTTGAACTCTTCCAAAAAGAAAAGAGTAAGGCTTCCTGAAAATAAAGATCTAAAAGATAAGTCGCTGATTTGGGACACTAGAGAAACCTTTATCCATTCAAACAAAAGGATAGAAGCCTTGTGCAAACTTCCTTGGATACACCTGGAGCTTTTTGTGGAGTCTAACTATACCCTTAAAATCCCTCTCAAGGTCAGCTGCACTAAGTGATAGGTTAACTGGTGTGTGTTGGTGGTAGAGCTGAAATCGGCTTTTTACTGAAAGCAAAAAATTACCATACTACCAGTTCATTTTTTAAAAATACCAAAATATATAAAGAAAAATATTAGAAAACTGAAATTTAGCAACAATCTTAATGGGAAATAATACATTGTATTCCAACATGTTGTAATGTACAAAAAAATTTTGCAAATTGAACAATTAGAGGTTAGCAATCTCAGCTTCCTAATTAGTAGCCTGTAAGATACTTGCTAATACATACCTGTTGCCTTAGGCATCATCAACAGGAGATTATAATTAAGATGCTTCCTGAACACTTTTTTTTTAGTTGAATTAAGCCTGATTTCAGTTTGTCTTCTAATAATTGTACTAGTTTGTTTTAATTAATGCTGAGAACAATGCTGCCTTTTGCAACAAATCTCTCATGACAGATCATCCCAATTTTCTTCTTCAGCTTTAGACCTCGCCACTCTTTTTGCATTTTTGATTCTGCAATAACAAGTTAATGTGTATTGATTATTTGCTTTGTACCAGCTACTGAATTCAGTGCTTCACAGTTTTAACCCTCCCTAAAATCTTACGCAATAGGAATTATCAGCCTTCATTTTATAGGTGAGGAATTCCAGGCTTTACAAGAGTATGATGACAACCCAGTCATGAAGCTGGTAATGTTGGAGGCAGGATTTATATCTAAGCATTGTGATTCCAAGAACTCACAATCTTTAAAGGCTATGTGTAGTTTTCCAATAAACTATGCTTTTTCTCTCCATCTGAGATATCTTTCTCATAGTCATCCTAGCAAACACTTAAGAATTCATAACTCAGTTTAAATGTTAACTTTAAAATCTTCCTGATCTCCTTCCTAATAAAACATACTCTCCACTACACCACTATGCTATCACTAAATCTAACCTTTCTATTATTGCACTGTCCTTATACATAATTGCTGATCTGTTTCTCTCTCCCTTTTTAAACTTTGAGCACCTTGAGGGGAGGGACTGTTTCCTACGCATTTCTCAATTCTCAGTTCCTTGCCATGTGACCTTCATGTGATCAATAAATGCTTATGGGATTAAATACGAGTAACAACACACATTTACTACTTTGCTTTCTCTTTCCTGATTTCCTAAAAATGTTCCTTTTAATACCTTTTAACCCCTTTCAGGTTAAACTTCTCAAGGCTATCTATATTTGTTGCCCTCTCCTGCCCCCAAAGGCACTCCCTAAAACTTTTTTTTTTTTAATCCTCACCTGAGGATATTTTTTCTGTTGCTTTTCAGAGAGAGTGGAAGGGAGACACAGAGAGAGAGAGAAACATTGATATGAGAGACATCGATTGGTTGCCTCCCACGCAAGCCCTAACCAGGGCCTGGGATCAAGCCTGCAACAGAGGTACATGCCCTTGGCCAAACTTGAACCCAGGACCCGTCAACCCATGGACTGAGCTCAAACTACTCTACCAAAACTACTTTCACTAAGGCCATCGATAACCTTTGATCTCTAATCCAGTGGTTTTATTTTACCACTGGTTTTCATTTTACATGCTTCTCAGTAGCATCTGACACTGCTGGTCATGCTGTCCTTGAAATACTCCTCCTCTTGGTATTCAGACACCATGCTTCCCTTAACTACTCTGCTATATACATCTTTCTTCTAAGCCTGCTCACTGTCCTTAACAAATATGTGTTTTTCTCAGTGTTCAGTTCTTGGCCGCCTTCTCTTCTGACTATACTCTGTCCCTAGGTTATCTCATTTGTGCCCATAAGTTCAATTTCTATCTGTTTGGCTAAGGTTTCCAGCATTTTTAATTTTAGCTCACAACTTTCTTCTGGGATCTGGATCCATATATGCAACTGTCTAGTCCCTATTTCCACTTGGAGTATGAAAGCGACCTTAAAGTCAACATACCCAAAACTGAACTTTACCTCTCCCACGACTGCAATAATAGCAATTACAACAAGAACAATAACATAAAAAGCCTGGTCCTCCTCTACTGTCTTCCCCACCTCAGACAGTAGCAACACCGGCTACGTAATTAAGTGCTCAAGCCAGAAACTCACTGGTTTAAGTTTGAGAGTGTACGCAAATGACTTAAACTTCATTCAGCTACTTTTGCCTCAGTTTACTTCTAAAGCAGCAAAACGGTTGAGTAAAGATAAACATGAGCTAAATAGACAGCTGGGGAGCATTTTCTTATTGGTTCCCTTATACCTCATAAAGGTGTGTCTGATGTAGAGTGAGTATAATGGCCAGATTGAGTAAAATGTTCTCCAGATTAGAATATAATTGAGGTGGAACATCGCTTTTGTATCAGTACCCATTAATGCACTCAGTGAGCCATGCCACACAGGTGTAATGGGCAGGTTGTAGGCCTTGACTTTCTATTGTGCCAAGAGCAAAACAAACTTTCCTTTGGGTGCCTGTACTGCAAATCCTTGAGGTTTTCCGCTTATGTCTACTTAAGGCCTTGTGGAAAATTCTAGCCGCATTTGACAATTATCTTTCACTCTTCCTGTTCCTTGCCCTTGATACCCAATTAATCGCTAAGTCCTATTGTTTATAACTCCTAATTTCCAGCATTCTCACCTGGAAGACTGGTATTCTCCACTTCCAATCTTGCTTTCCCCTAATCTATTCACCATAAAGTAGCCCAAGTGATCTTTCTAAATAGCAAATATGTTTGTGTCACTCTGTTTTGGGGAACTTTTTGCCAAAGGTAA